TATATATATATATATATATATAATATATATATATATAATATTATATATATATATATTATGAATATATATGAAAAATATATTAAATATATAAAGTTGAATTAAATTAAGCTATATATTTTGGCGGAACAGGTTATGGGACAGACCGCGAGGAAGGAGAGGCACGAGCGCATGATCGCCTCCCCGTCCCCCGTGGCCACCGCACCCTGCCCACACCGCCCAAAAGTCAACCCAGACCCTGAAAGTCAACTCACCCCCCTGAAAGTCAACCCCCCCCCCTGAAAGTCAACTAGTGCTCCCCGCGCCCCGTCGCCACCGCGCCCCGCAGAGAGCGGTTCCTGAGAATCACTTCTATGGGACGGGCCCCACCGACAGGCTCGCGAACGGCCCCTTTTTGCTGCCTGAAAAGGCGTCCTGTGGCCTCGAACCCACGACGGGCCGAGAGCGTTTCGGAAAGTCAATTTCGCGTGGCTCACTTCTTGCAGGAAGTGACTTTGCCACACCAGGAAAGAAGGTCGATATGAGTCCTTCAAATGGCCGCCCCGACCCCCGTGGCCACCGCGCCCTGCCCAAGAGCCCCCATAAGTCAACTCAGGCCCTGAAAGTCAACTATTTCTGGGCCTCAATGTCAACTCGCACTGGGTACAGCCCCAGAGAGTCACCTCACGAGCGACCCTTCCCTTCGCGCCAAAAATCTCACATGGAAACACTTATAATAATTTACAAACGAGATTTCAGTCAAAATTACTACACGTTTTCTTTAATATTACTAGTAAAAATCGTTCTGTGTAGTAAATTTTATTGAATTCAGTTTATGGATTATAAGTATTTGCGTATGAGATCCCCTACCCATCCCATCCTTCAATGTTCATAGGATAACGGCCCGAAAACCGGGCAGTTGAGACTCCCGTAAGAGCCCCCCTAGGCCCATACGGCCTACCGTAGTGAATACCGTAGGCCTAACTACCCAGGTTTCAGCCCGCCACCCTATTAATGTTGATGGTTCACGCGAGAGTGCGTTGGGTTTCAGGGCACGGGATTCTACTGGAGCCCATCCTCGGATTTCATCCAGCCAGGCATTTAAAATCAAATGCTCGAAATGCATACTTTTGGCGTCAGATTCTGCCTGAAGTGGCCAAATTGGCAACTTATGGCAACTTCTGACGCCAAAAGTATGCATTTCGAGCATTTAACTCAAATGCCTGGCTGGATGAAATTAAAGGCGGTAACGCATCTTCGGGTCCATGCATTCGCGGCCTTGCCTTATCCGTAGGAACCCCCCTACACCCCTACGGGTTGCCTACCGTAGGGTCCTAGGTCTTATCGCTTAGAGGTTATTCAAAATCCCTTCGAAGTCCGCTGTGTGGTTGGTATCAGTAAAGGTCTCACCACGGGATATGATTCTAGTGCATGATCTAGCTCTGTCGCAGTCTATTTGGGCTCACCAGTTTGGCCAGCCCGGGCTCGTTTTCACTCCAAAGTTGACGGATTTGTACCGCGAACCCGGCATGTCAACTTGAGAATAGTCGGTTAACCCGAGTGCGGCAGAGCTAGACAATGGTCACCCCAACGGCATCGTCAGCGTATCTGACTTCAGGGCAGGATACCACACGAGGCTACCTATTCAAACAGAATAAATGTCGATTGTAAACGTGTGCAGTCATTTTCAGATGAAAAGCAGCGACTTTACACAGGTCCGACCGCTCAGCGGGCGGAAACGTGATCATTTGCCCACAAAACTTTAAAAGTCCGTTTTATTCTGTTCGCCTGGGTAGCCTCGTGTGGTACGCACCCCACACGCCAAGTAACACTGTTTCGGGTGCAAGGTCCTGAGAGTAGGGTGAGGGGCTTGGGGGTTAGGTATGTGGATGCTCACCCCTACGGCTGTGTCGGCGCAGACTTCTATGTCACTCAACTCAAGGCTTAAGGGCCTACCTAGGACCTGTATCGAGAGTAATTAAGAAGAAGAAGAAGAAGAAGAAGAAGAAGTCACCATTCTGCCGTTCAGAGCCCGGCCGAAGAACGCCCCCGCGCCCAACCCCTCCGTCGCGACACCCGCAAGAAGAAGAAGAAGATTGCAAGGCAGGATGATGACCCAAACGGCATGCCCATATTTATACACCGGTGGATTAACACTTGTCTGACCAGTGTTAGAGAGAGAGAGGGAGGGAGGGAGGGAGGGAGAGGGAGGGA